TGTAAAGTTGGCAACATCTTTAGTGGAACCTTTGAAATATACTTTTGATGATATTCTAATAAATGGAATCCCAAATAATTGGAAAGATGAGGATATTGTGCTGATTCCAAAGGAAGGTAAAGACTGTAAGCGGATAGAAAACTATAGGCCAATATCACTAACGAATGTAGATTATAAGATCTTTGCAACTATACTGGCATCCAGATTGAAGGAAGTTTTAAAAAATAAGATACATGAAGATCAAGCAGGGTTTTTACCACACAGATATGTAAAGCACAATATAAGAATTGTTATTGACATCATAGAATACTATGAACAAAATAATGATAAAAAACTTGCAATCTTATTATTCGATGCAGAAAAGGCATTTGATTCTGTAAACTGGGAAACTATGTTATTGATATTAGAGAAATTAAACTTTGGGGATAAATTCATAAATTGGATCAAATCTATATATACAGATCAAAGAGCCAGGTTGTTAATCAATGGAGAAAAATCAAGAGAATTTAGCATTCAGAGAGGAGTCAGACAAGGATGCCCTATGTCTCCGTTATTGTTTCTTGTGGTAATGGAGATTTTGAATAACACCATAAGGCAAAACTCAAATTTAAAGGGTCCAAAAATAAAAGACTCTGAGTTCAAGCTACGAGCCTATGCTGATGACTTAATTGTGTTTTTAGAAGACCCAATAAAAAGCATTGACCCATTAATTAATATAATGGATATATTCGGCAAGTTTACAGGATTTAAACTAAATAAAGAAAAATCAATAATCATAACTAAAAACATGTCAATGATAGAAGAAAACATACTAAGTGAAAAATCGTTCTGTAAAGTTGTAAAAAAAAGCTAGATATTTGGTCATCATTATCTCAAATAGGAATACGGAACTTTTTGAACAAAATTATGAGAAGGTGTGGAAGGATATAAAAAAAGACATGGTAAGTTGGGCTTGACTAAAGCTATCTTTATATGGCAGAATAGCTGTTATCAAAATGTTTGTATTACCGAGGCTAATCTTTCTGTTCTCAAACTTACCCATTATATACAATAATACACCTTTTTCAAACTGGAACAGAGAATTAAAAAGATTCATTTGGGAGGGAAAGAAGCCCTGTTTAAGATGGAAAGTCATGATTGAGAAAAAAGAAAACGGGGGCTGCGGGGTTCCAGATTTAGAATTATATTTTCAGGCCAATGTTCTTCCATGAATCCAGGAATGGGTAAAACTAGATAACAAACAACTGCTCAATTTGGAGAGCCATGATCTGAGGTATGGGTGGCACACGTACCTATGGTATGAAAAACAGAAGGTGCACCAGGACTTTAACCATCATATATTGAGAAGAACACTTTTAAATATTTGGGAAAACATCAAAGGAAAGTTTTATCGTGGCCTCCCAGGATGGATGTCCCCCCAAGAAGCAATGTTAAGCAGATTCAAATCAATCAAAAGATGGGTAAGATATGAAGATGCCATAATACAAGATAAAAGAAATGGTAATATGAACTTAAAATAATTAGATAACCTTAAGGAGATTGATTCAAGCTTCATGTAGTTTCAGTACCACCAATTACAAAATATATTTAAATCTGATATTAAAAAGTATGGGATATATTTTGTAAAAAATGAAGTGGATAATATTTTGATAACTGAAAACACTAAATTTACAGCCAAACTTTATAAAACTCTACTAGCTTGAAAACTGGAAAAAGAAACTGTTAAAGAACATATGTTAAGATGGGCAAATGATATAGGTAGAGAAATCACTTTAGAAAAATGGTATAACGCAAGACAAGCATCTTATAAGTTTACCAAAAATCAAATGATGCAAGAAAACTTCTTTAAAATGGAGACAAGATGGCATCTTACTCCAGGAAAACTAGCCAGAATATATAAAAACAACAATTTCAACTGCTGGAGATGTCATGAGGCACCTGGTACATGGTACCATATGTGGTGGACTTGCCCCGTGATTAAAAATTTTGGGAAAAATCTCCATGAAACAATCTGTGAGATTCTGGGTGCATTATTTCACTGTACACCTGAAGTTTATCTATTAAATATGGTAAAAGATATAACAACAAAAGAATGTAAAAAAATGTGGAGAATGATATTGTACATAATAACAACAGCTAGAATTTTAATAGCTAGTAGGTGGAAAACAGGGCATCTACCCACTATAGATAATTGGCTATATAAACTGATTGATGTCTCGGAAATGGATAAAAGAATAGATATTATTGATGGAAAATTAATCAATCAAGAATGGAAGCTACTATATACATATTGTGAGAAAATCTGGGATATTGGATATGATTAAGAATTATAGTATACAACACTAGCATATGCCATATGTATATATAAGGATTAGGATGACAAATACTGAAATAAAGATGAAAAAAATTATACTTTGAGACAACAAGAAAATTTTATAAAATAAGAAGTTGGAAAGCAAAATTAAAACAAACAACATATAGATTGGGATATATAGGAAGTACAAACCTAAGTCAGACCAAGTGTAATGTAGTATAAGGGACCATGAAAGATACTCTGTATAATGTGAAAATTTATTTAGAGGATGTTATTG